CGACGACGAGATGCAGTTTCTCAGCGACGCCATTCGATCCTTGCCTTCTTACGCCGTTAAGGACCTTCTGTCCGTCGGGGTTAGTAACTCTGTTGATTTTTAGGGTTTCGTTCTCATTCGATCTGATTACCTGATTGACATCAAGTTCGGTTCCGTTGTTCTGTGATTTATATTTTTTTAGAAGTTTTTATTATGATTAATTTCAGGCATGTGTAAGATGCAGCTTTCGGCTACTCGGAATCGAGCAACAAATTTATTGTTCTTCCTCATTTTCACCATCGCTACTGTGTTCATTACTTGAAGAATCAATGTCTCCGGCAGCAGAAGTCGAGTCGGAATTTTGCAGCGTTTGCTTAGGTATATTGCAGTTCAAGTGGCGCGATGATAAGGAAACATTAGTGAAAAAGGAAAGCCCCAATGATATGACTGAATTGATTGCTGAGACAGTAAAGCAAGAAGGCCATCAGATCGATAGCTTTTCTCTTGAAGTATCTGTACCACAAGCAATCCTGGAGAACGAATTGGCGATTTTGTAAGAGCTGTTTGCCTCTTTTTGGTGGTGAATGATTCATTTTCCATTCTCTCACTTATAATGCTGAGACAGTGAAGCAATCCTGTAGCTTCGATCTCGATTCATGATTTCTTGTTTTTTTTCCTTTCTCTCGTGCTCACTTATAATGCGTTATGTATAAGCTTGAATTTTGGTTTTTAAGCAGTAGGCAAGCCTATTAGCACCGTTTTATGTTAGATGCGTAGCCTGACTATTTGGATCTAAATATGAACATTTTGTAGTTGAGATATGAAAAGGAACTTTGGCATTTCATGATTTCTATTTCTTATTCATTTCTCTTGTGATTTTTGTTCATGTTGTAAGCTGGAGTTTTAGTTTTTAATAACTAAGAGAAGCATGCTGGTGTAGTTTTATGTAGTGTTAAAGCATAAATGATATCTTGGATTCTGAATATGAACGATTGAAGAGTTATAATTTCTTTCCATAATTTTGTAGGTCAGATATGAAAAGCAAATATGGATCTGAACTCTGGTTTCAGGAAAAGTCACGTTCAGAACCTATTTCTGTTAAGGATGCCCTAAAATTTTCGATAGTCAAACCACTGGAATCATTATTGGTAAGTATAGATTGCTATAAATGGTTTGATGTTCATTGATGTTACTGTTGTTCTCTAGTATGATGTCTATAGACTTAAACTATATCCGGTGTTGTATCTGCTAGGCTTTGGAGAAAAGTGGATCAGATTTAGTTACAAACTAAAAATCATGTATTTTATATATCTAGCATACCGTGTAGAGTTGTCTACCTACATCAGGTATTGCATCTGCTAGGCTTTGGAGAAAAGGAGAATCTGATTTGATTATAAACTAAAAATGAGCTTTAGATTAGTATAAAACATACGAGTTATTGTGTTCTGCCCTGTAATTCTAAATTAAATAAAAGTTTTGCAGGGCATTAAATCTAGTATAGATTCTTTCCGAATCCGTTTGACATACACATCCACAAAGGCATCAAAAATGGTTCAGAATTCTAGAGGTAGGATCAAGGATTGCAAAAGGCAGAAAACAGACACGAACAATGGGTTGCACTCTATTAATGATGAGTCAATAGTTGCTGGTGCTGAATGTTCAGATCAATCCAATATTGAGACAAATGCTGCTGCTGTGAGGCCCTCTAACGGTTTGCAAGCTTGTGACGCTTTTGAGTGCCTTGGATTCTCCATAGAGAAGGTTGTCTTTTTCTTTTTCACCTTTTTCTCCCTTTGCAAAATGTCACTGTCTGAACTATCCTCTCAAGATTCAACATTGTCACCACAGAATTTGTGGTTCTTGATCACTTATATTTATCCTAATTGGGAAGCAATGTTTATGATAAATAAGAAATGTTAATCCATGTCTTTTTGAAAATGGCAGATTCTTTGCATTTGATTACTGTTTGTTTTTGTTGTGCTTAATTTTATGGGATTTGTTATTTAGTTTTCAAAATTCTGCCTTTTTAGGTCAATGAACCTTGCCACTTGGAATTACAATGCTACAGGACACCTATTTACCTTGGTGGTAGATACCTGAAGGTAAGCATATACTTTTTCAGAATATATTCTTTGTATACTTTTTCAAATATTCTGACCAATGATTAGGGAAGCTTATGATTCTTCTTCTTGCAAAAATAATGTGTTTTGATTTCGAGCAATTTCAAACTAGTGCAATGCTTTCATGTTGCAGTTCTCAAGAAGTGTGAGTCAAACATGCTGGATAATTGGTGAAGAAAGGATGGGAGAAGCATCTGTTGAGGTACTGACCACTGCCATGACTTCTCTTGTTATACATTACCAAGTCTGTTCCTATGAATACTAACAGTTCTATTTGTCTGGTACTCTTTTTTTGGTTGCCAGGAGATAATAGGTAGCAACATCCTTCCTATGTGTAAAGGTGATAATTACAAGTTTCATGCTGCTGGCAGAGAAGATATTGATGTAATGAAGATCTCGTTTATTAATTGCTTGCATAATTTCAGTGCACATTGTGTTGATCCTCAGAATTGCCTTTTCTAGGTTCGAATGTTGGGTTCAGGGCGGCCTTTCCTAGTTGAGATACAAAATGCACGCCAAATCCCATCAGAGGCAATTGTAAAAGAAATTGAAACAAGGATAAATGGCTTGGAAAATAAATTAGTAAGTTTAATATCAGGTTATTTAAAGACTGCTTGCATTGGCATCAAATTATTAAAATTAGCTGCATGAATCACACTTGCAGGTTGGAGTTAAAAATCTTAAAGTAGTGGGCAGTGAGGGTTGGACACTGATGCGTGAAGGAGAATCAGAGAAGCAGGTAAGTTTTTGGTTTTTAGCTACAATACTTTTGCCTTTTAGGGGAATTTTGTTCCATTTGGACAAGTATTTGGAGTTGATTATTGGACCTGGATTACTTCTTATCTTTTACCATCCCAAGTTATATGTTTCACACAGAAGCAATATGCTGCAGTAGTGTGGATTTCTCGTCCCCTTGATGATGAAGATTTGAAAACTATATCTTCACTCAAGGACATGGTGAGTTGTTCAGTGTGCTTCATTATTATACTTTATAAATCCAGTGGGGAAGTTATGGTTTAGCTCCAATTGCAAACCTTCTTACAAATCCAATTGCTTGCTTCCTTTATTCTTGTGCAGCAAATTATGCAAAAGACTCCAATAAGAGTGCTCCATCGTCGAAGTCCGTTGGAGCGGGAAAAACTTATACATTGGTCAGAGGCTTTCCATTTATATTGCAAAGCACTGTCATTTGGTTCATGTCATGTCTAGTTTCAAAGCACCTGAAACATTTCCATTTTCTTTTCTTTTTCTTGAATGCTGTTTAGGATGAAAATTGAGAGGATTGCCGGAAGCTCTCAATATTTTCTACTGTATCTCTGCACTCAGGTAATACATTTCATCATCTCTTAAAACCACATAACAGGATACATGCAATTTTATAATCCTGATGGATATAATTCAAATTAATTGGTTTCTATACCGTGGAATAGGTCTTTGGCTGGTTTAAACATATTCATAGGGAGTACTCATCTAAATTGAAATATTTCAAACGCAGGCCGGAACATATATCAAGGAATTTGTTCATGGGGATCTCGGGCGGACTCACCCAAGGTACAGAACTAACCGTCCTTTATGGTTATGCTGTCTATCTTAGCCGTTCTTTTAATGTTTGAAACGCTTTGGTCATCATTTTATTATTTTTATTTATATTTCCTTTACAGCGTTGGATCAATCCTTGGATGCAGAGCAGAGATAATGCAACTTGATGTTACAGACGTCAAAATGGACTGTTTTCTAACTGGGTGAGGCAATACGCATTCCAATATAGTTTTTCATGTATTTGAACCATATTTTTGTCCTTTTATCTTGATTAAATACTTATTTACTGCAATTTTGGGGTAAAGCCACGTTTGTCCACAAAGGGTACCGATATATGCACCTTTTCGGTGTTTCTTGAATAGTTTGGAAGGTGGCAAGTTGATTGTCATTGTTTAATAACTCATCTTTTAAAAAACATAATCATGAAAGCTTGTTAACTTTTCAAATTGATTATCGAACTTCAATTCAATCTAAACGTGAAGTTCAAAATTAAGCAGCTTGCTAGAAGTCGCACTTCCAGTTAATCATTTTCCTATCTTTATTTTATTTAGGTTTTCCACTCTGGAGAGCCCATCACAAGAATTTTCGGTTCACAATTCACATAAATTCCCGATCAACAGCATTTTGAACTAGTAACATAATTAAAATCTATTCGGCTAAGATGGACCGTGGATCAGTCCATCAGAACAAAAAACAGCTATTCGATCCAAGTTGCGTCTGACACCATGGCCATGAAACCATATCGATCCGCAGCTTCATCAATCTGCAGCAAATAGCGGAAAGACAAGGATGTCGAAAATCAAAGAAATTATCAATCCAATAGCTATCCTTAGTAATACCAATCCATGTTAATCTCTCGGCAATGGGATGCTAACGTTTACTTCTTTTATTTTAGAATAATAGATATTTTTTTTTTCATTTAGAATTCATTTCAAAATAATAATCATTTCATATTTTAAGAACAATATATTTTTCCCTATTTTATCTTTATCGTCTCTTGATTTTACTCATCCAACTTATCACAAAAAAATCTGTTTATATTCATATATATTTTTTAAAGAGTAATATAAGTAAAAATAAAAAGTGTGCCCAAATCTTTAATTTGAAAATAAAATGAAAAAATGTCTATTATTCTAGAAAAAAAAGGAGTATATCATAACATTAAGAAAGATAAAATATACCCTTTATGCTTATCAAACGCTAGAAAATGCACTCATCAAAAAAATAAAAAAAGGAAAGAAAGAAAATGCAAACAATAATTTTTTTGAAGTCCCTATTGATATAGCATTATATCTAATCTTTTCTTAGAATCATACAGATATAAAGTCCCAAGTAATTGGCGGTTTCATAACATAATATAAATTGACCTGTAGACAGCCCAAAAAGTTTTAGGATTTCAAAGCTAGTTAGATTGAAAAATCTGTTAGATGCATTGAAATATAAAGAAGGAAACTTGATTTGGTTTAAGTAAAAAGGCCTTAGTTTAGAGATTTCATAT